TGAGCTCCGGGACGAGTCCCCCTGAGACAGACCCCGACGGAGACTTGTACCATCTTGAGGGGCAGCGCCCCCTCCGCCAGCGTCTGCAGGGACACGCAGCCAGCGCGGGCCGACAGGCGGGTTATTAGTCACCTGGACCAGCCCAGGGAGCCCAAAGCCCCGTCCGTCCCTCTGACCTTGTCCCAGGCCAGGTGCACTGATTGCTGCCTGCACCCCACACTTAACTCTCCCCTCCCCCAGCCGAGCGGGGGATGCGGCTCAGCCCCCTGCCCAGTGGTGGGGGGTGCAGATCTCTCTGGGTCGCTGGTTGCTGGGGTCCATGTCTGGGCAGTCGGATTTGCCATTGTCTTCTCAGAGCTCCACTGATATGGGACCTAAGGGCCCAGACAGCTGGGAGCCCATCACACCTGTGTTAGCCGGCCCAGAGAGCGACAGGCCTTTCTATCCCCGAGGTCACTGCAGCACATAGGGGAAACTGAGGCACGCATAGGCTTCATGAAAATATTACAAAAGAATTCCCAGGCTGTCACACCTAGTCCCTTTGGTTTGGGGTTCACTGCCGGGTGCTCTCAGGGATGTGGGGAGTCGCTCTTGGGGAGGAGAGCGGAACAAGACGAGTCTTTAGGCCTTTTGTTGATGGTTTCTCCATGCGGATGTGGGGAGTTCCCAGCTCTGAGATCCAAGCCTAGCCCGGCTGCTGTCGCTGGATCTCCTCTTTCAGGGAGGGCATAAACATTTCTGTGGGAGAGCTGCTCTTCCATCAGGGTCCATGCCCTGCCGGGCGCCCGCTCTGATAGCCCGGCCCCACGGGAACAGACAGGGGAAGTGAGACTGAGGCAGGCGTTCGACAGAGTCCAGACGCTACCCCTGGTTCTGGTCCCTGTCCGATCGCTGGTAACCCGCAGGCAAGCCGGGCAGATCCCAGCCCTGTCTGTCGGCATCTGGCTGAGACCTGGGGACCTTGCCCTGCACTGGTGCCCGTTTCTCTGAGCCTCTCGCCCCGGTGATCCTGTGCTGCCGGTCCCTGGAGTCATCCACTGGAAAGACAATCGCTCTGTTCAGGGACCAAAATCTCCCTTAGGCCCAAGCCTGCAGGACCAGTGCCAGAGGCAGACGGAAGGGCCCTCGGGCCGGCGCCTGCCAGGGGCTCTGATGCCCAGGTGGAGGTTGCTTGGGTACCAGGCCTGCCATGGGGTGGGGTGCCGCTGCCCAGCTCTGAAGGCCGAGCGGCCTGGGACCGAGCCGGGGGCTGGGGTCTCGCTACGGGCGAGCGGTGGGGGTGGCCGGCCGGCCCTGCTCATCCTCCCTCCCCACAGACAAGCGGTCGCTGGTGTCCGACGCCGCGGTGAACATCGTCTCGTGTAAGGACGGCCGCCAGCTGCTCTCCATCCCCAGGACGTGCAAGAAGGATGCAGGCCTGTACGAGTGCACCGCTGCCAACGCCCTGGGCACCGCCACCAGCTCGTGCACTCTGGCCGTGGCACGTAAGGGCCCTGGGCACGGGAGGGCACTGGCTGCAGCAGCTCCTGTGGGGCGGCCAGGATCGGAGCTGCCCCGTTCCTGTCCAGGGAGCGCTCCAGGGGTGTGTGGGGGACAGCCAGGCCCTGTCTGCCAGGCCCCCCTGCGGCCACTGCCCCAGGGCGCTCGGGCAGGAGCCGAGGGATGGAGAGTCTGGGGCCCCCGCACTGCAGACGAGGCAAATGCCAGCAGTGCAGAGCCCAGGGGCCTTTGGCCAGTGCTAGTTACTTGAGAGGGCCCCAGCTCTCCAGTGTCACCAGCGCCACTAACCGGATCAGTGCTGCCGGCGACCCTGGGCTGGCCCAGCCCCCTCCTTGACCCCCCTCTGTCCCACCCCATCCGAACCCCTGTCCCCTCTCCATTCCCTGCCTCCCCCCCTTGGCCCAGTTTCTCACCCGTGCCAGCCCCATTACAGGTCGCGCTGTCTCCCCTGCCAGGCCTGCCAGGGAAGCCGGGCACCCCGGAGATACCTCAGAAGTACAAGAACACGGTGCTGGTGCTGTGGAAGCCTGCAGACAGCCGGGCCCCTTGCACCTACATCCTGGAGTGCAAAATGAACGGTATGAGGCCTCCTGCGCCCAGCCAGCACCGCTTGGGCCCATGGGCAGGGCCTTGGTCAGTCCCCTCTTCAGCACCTCTCAGCCCTGTGCTGCCCCCTCCGCTGCTCTCCCGTGACTGGTGCTGGATCCCAGCCTGTGTCCGGATCCCCAGGGGACAACCTGGGACTGTGGGACCACTGGGCCCCCTTAACTCCCCAGCCTGGGCTGTCTCCCACATTGCCTTGCCAGTGACCAGCAGCAAACCCCTCCAGGTGCTGTGATCACTCAGCACAACCGCGTGTGGAGCCCCACACCCAGCTTGATTGCACGAATGCTCCCAGAGCCGCTCACAAATCACACAGAGAAAGGCACCAGCGCATCCCCCAGCACCCCAGAGCTGCGCCGTGCCTGAGCAGTGCAAGTTCATTGCCCAGTCGCCCTCCCTCAGTGTGCAGAGGACACGCACCAGCCTTGGTAACCAGAGCTGAGATTTCCCAAGCACGGGTTTAGGTAAAGCGTAAAGCCGGTTTATTCACTACAGGAAGGTCGGTTAGACGTGATTCGAAGTGGGAGGCATAAAAAGTGAGCGACAGGTACCAGAGAAAAGAACCGCTACGCGCCCAGTCTAAATCTTAACCCTTATTACTAGGCCCTGCCAATGTCATGGGCCCGGAGATTAGCCCTCCCCTGTGAAATCTCCTCTCCCCCAGGCTGCTGGGAGCGTCCCAGCTGCAGGGCTCCGAGCTGCGAGTCCGCCAGGCTGGGGAGGGACAGGACTTGTCCTTCCCCTGCATAGCTGCTCAGGGCAGGGGGGATCAGACCCACCTCTGGGGACCTTTCGGGTTGGGACCCCCACGGTTACAACACCCTGAAACCTCAGATGTAATTATCTGAAAACGTGAAATTAACCAATTTTTCAACTCTCTGGCCATGAAATTGATCAAAATGGACTGTGAATTTGGTAGGGCCCAGTTTACTACACCAGGCAGCGTTTAGATCAAGCAGTTCTCTCACCCCACTGGATGTTACATTCTCAATACGCAGACTTCTCTCTCCAGCCTGGGACCAGTCTCCTCAGTTGAAGGCTTTGTCTTCTCCGTGTTCTTGTGGCTTCCAGTGTAGGTGGGGGAGGAGAAAGGCCAAGGCATGACTTCCCCCCCCCCCCCCATTTTTATATCCTCAGTCCGTGTGCCCAGACAGGCCTGGTGGGCTTTGCTGAGTTGCAGGGCGGAGCAGTCCCATTGTGTGGTGCTTTACACAATTGTCATTGAATTGTAACCGCTTGAGTCTGTCCCGGAGTCACCGGGCGATGCTCTGGAACTGCTCCCCACAAAGCCAGTCAGGACTCTGGGGAGCCTCCTCTCCCTCGGAGCAGACTGTCTTCAGGGCAAGGAGCTCACACGGCTTCACCTCCTGGGTCTGACCTTGGAGCATTCAGCATATGCCCCTCCGTGTGCTTCCCACAGCAAATCCACCCAGGCGGGGTCCTGGGGAAGCCAGAGGGTCCTGCACCCCCCACTTCGCAGTCAGACGTGACTCTCAGCCAGCCAGTAACACAGAGGTTTATTCAATGACAGGAACGTGGTCTAAAACAGAGCTTGTAGGTACAGAGAACAGGACCCCTCAGCCAGGTCCATTCTGGGGTCCCGTGAGCCAGACACCCCCATCTGCCCTCACTCCTCGTCCCCAGCCAGCCCCAAACTGAACCCCCTCCAGCCCCTCCTCCTCTGGACTTTGTCCCTTTCCCGGGCCAGGAGGTCACCTGACCTCTTTGTTCTCCCACACCTTTAGCATCCCCTTGCGGGGGGGGGGGGGGGGGGGGGGGGGGGCCC